GGACACAGGCGTGGCGGGGCTCTCGCGCACCGTGACCACGCTGGCCTTCACCAGGCTGTGGTTGGCCGAGGCGTGCTCCACCAGGACGCTGCCCTTCTCCACATCCAGGTCATCCAGGTCCCGGCCCCCCCTCTCGGCCGCCAGCCTGGCCTCTTTCTGCTGCCGGAACCTCTGGAAGAGTCTCCGGACAGGATGGTCCGGGGGCAGGATCAGGGGGGCCTCATTCTTCCTTTTCATGCGCTCTTCCTCTTCCCGCTTCACGTCGCTGATCTTCCGGAACACGATCTGGGGGGAGACAGAATGACACGCGTGTTAATGGGCCACGCGGTCCCTCTGCAGGTCACAGCTCTGGCTTCCAGCCTGCCCCCACGGGCAAGGCTCCCAGCCCCTCACATCTCTGCCAAAGCCTTCTGGGCTTGGCTTGGTGACTGCATTCACTTGCCTTTTCCTAAACTCTTCTTGGCTTCCCAACAGCAAGAAATGGACTCTTACTGTGTCCTCTTCAAGAGGGGTTCTGTTCTTTGTAAGCCGCAGTTCCCAAAGAAGATACCGGCTGTTTACATCTTTATTACCTCAGAAAGTTCCCAGGGGCCTAGCACAGTACTTTGCATATCATCTCGTATTTTTTACTTTATATATATTGTCTACCCTAAGAGAATAGGGATTGTCTCTTTCGTTCTCTGTTTCTAGAACTTGGAAAACGCCTGGTAACTAGGGGCCCTTTGTAAACATTTGTGGAATGAATAAATGAATGAATAATAGATAAATATGAGCTAATGAATCAATGGGGGAAAGATGAAATCACAGAGCTCATTAATGTTGTAAAAGGAAGGAATTGGTTCAAACACACAGTCTTCTTACCCACTCTCAACATTAAAGGGCAGGGGCAGTCTTGAGACGAAATGAGATGTTTTAAGGCTAAAGAAAGCACTTCTTCAAATATTGAGGAGTCAACACAAAACTTATCCCAGGAGGTTGTACAGTGGAGCATCCCGCAGGTTAAAGGCTTAGTATGCGTCCACGGTGGACACGTAGCTCCTCCTTGAGTTGGATGTGCTTCTTAGCCAAACGCCCCGCAGGTCATTCACCTGTGGCCGTGTCATCAGAGGGGGCAGCTCAGCACTCACCGGCTACAGTCTCCTTGGATCTATGCTGACTCTCTGAAGCTCTTGGCTTTTCCCAGAGTGCCATGCTGGTGCTGCCCTCGCTCATCCTGGGTGCCCGGGGCAGCCCCACCTGAACGTCACTGGCTCACCCAACGCGCAGGTGAACCGGGAAAGAGCTGCCTGCAATTCCAGAAGGCCTTTGAGCCCCCTTTGCAAGTCAGAGAATAAGACCAGCAGCCCTGCGGACACAGAGCTGATGTGGCCTGACGGCTTTGCTTATCTGGGGTCTCAGCCTCTGCTTGCTAACTTCCACTGCTGTTTTGGAGAAGTTGGTCTTGGACTCTTTTCTCAGAGGCAGCCATGACCAGACCTTTGGCCAAGTGCTTTAGATCCAAGTGGGCAGGAGTGACCGTGTGACTCACGACCACGAGTCTATGCTGACACAGCAGCTCCTCTGCTCTGAAATGCTCCCCAGCTCCCACAGCAGCAGCGTGCCCTAGGAATGATGGGCAAGACCCCACGCCCAGGATGCCCTCTGCTCTGAACAGGCTCTAGCTGGAGGCCTGGGAAAGTCTGTCTTGCTTTTCTAAATGTTCGGTGAAATTTTAACAGGTGCCGTGAAGGTGGAAAGTTTCAAAATGAAATGAATTTGAGCCACATGACAATGTTAAATTTGCTGCTTTACTGGAGGACTTCTCAGAGCCTTAACGTGCTAGTGAGCCTTACGAATGTCACAGACGACAATATCCCAGGCAGCACTTCTGAAATTCTTTCCTCCAGACCCTCTCTTTGGAAAGGGTAGTGTCCCCCAGAACCCCCTCTGCCCAGCACTGAAATTACATCAGTGTGGGGGGATGAGGCGCCCTCTGTATTTGTGCAGAGCCCTAATGGATGGGAAGGCTGTTTCCATGTTTCAGCTAAATGGTGCCTATCTCGGCCCCTACTGTGGAGCCCCTGGAGTTTGGGGTTTGGAGCCTCCATTGCAGATTCACTGCCCCCTGGTGGATGGAAATGGATCAATTCAAACACTAAGACATGACTGATGAAGCTGTGGGATCAACTCGCCTGCCCATCAGTGGCTCTATATGCTCTGTCTGTACTGAGCAATTTCAGGTCCTGAAATAACGCCCATCAATATCATCTTCCACCCCATTCCTTCAACAGGACTCCTATGTAACCTTCAGGATTCAGCTTAGGAGTCATCTACTCCAGCAAGCTTCCCTGCCTCTCCCTGACCCCTGGTCAGAAGACCTTCCTGGTGGTACCAGGCTTGGGGCAGCCACATGCTCCTCCATCGCAGATTCTTGTTAAGAGGCAGCATTTTGCCTATTTGTCTTTGCCTTAGGCCAGTGGTCGGCAAACCGCGGCTTGCGAGCCACATGCGGCTCTTTGGCCCCTTGAGTATGGCTCTTCCACAAAATACCACGTGCGGGCATGCACGTACAGTGTGATTGAAACTTCGTGGCCCATGCGCAGAAGTCGGTATTTTGTGGAAGAGCCACACTCAAGGGGCCAAAGAGCCGCATGTGGCTCACGAGCCGTAGTTTGCTGACCACTGCCTTAGGCAGTAGCTCCCTGAAGGTGGGCACAATGCTTTATTCTCCATTGTATTTTTGTGTGGGTGTGTGTTTTTCACCTTCAGTATCATGCCTGGTACATACAATGCTCCATCAGTGGTCAGTGAATCAATGAATGCATCCGTGAATAAATTGTGGCCAACCCCCTGTTTGTGAGGCCCATGCTAGGGTGAAAGAGGTAATGTGTATGCCCCCAGCACGCACACACACACGTCTGTTTCTGATGTTTGTGGTCTAGCAGAGAGAGAGAGAAAAAGAGATTACAGGTCGCTTTCTCAGTGCACACCACAGACTCCTGAAGAGGAACGAATAAGTAAAATCCTAAGGGACTTCCATTTTCACTCATCTTTAAATCAGACTGACCTAATACTGATTTCATCATCCCTGCCCGACCAATTTTTATTTTTTTCAATCTCTTACATGAGCTCAGCGAGCTGATATTTAGAAGTAGCCCTGAGATGAAGATTTTTAACAGGTGCCACAGAGGTGAAAAGTTTCGAAATGAAATTAATTTGAGCCACATGAAGGCCGGGCCCTGAGCAAGCGCCCTCACACCTGCCCTCACCAGCTGGACGGCCTCGTCCCCAAACTCCCATCAGAGCAGCGCCAGCTTTTCCTGTTTCATGTATTGGGCTTTGGTGTAAGATTTCATTCTGGGAAAGGATTCCTTGGTCCAAAAAAACCCACTGGATGAGATCACCTCTGAAGTCCCTTTGAGAAGGAACACTTTGTGATTATAATAGCATAGTCCTTTTTATTGTGCTTTACAGCTTATTCCACATACTCAAGTGCATTCTCTCATTCAAGCCAAAATTCCAGGGAGGGGTGCAGGGTTCTCCCCCACAGTTTGACAGTTGAGGAGACTGGGGCTTAGCTGGTAGAGCGACCTGCTGAAGGTCACACCGCTAGGTAGAAACAGAACTCCAGGGTGTGGATCAGGGCTCTTGCCTTGAATCACCTTTGTTCACGCTGGCCATCTGTAGACAGGGGCCACCGCAACAGGGAGGCGCAGGGTCTGTTTGGAGCGGTTGTTACCAGGGGCCCTCTAATCACCCCTGGGAAGGCCCAGCCTCGGGGACAGGCTGACACAGATCATGGCACCAGTGATGGGCTAAGTCTGACCTTCCTGGCCAGCCAGTGTCCTGCCAGCCCACAGCAGGGCCTGACGTGTTGGGCGTGTGAGGCCCACACAGAATGCTAAACAGCTCAGGACTTACTGGACTATGGGGAGACAGAGGATGCCTCAGGGCAGGGACGGCAGCTGTGCCTCCCTCATCCATCTCCGCATCCGTCTGAGAGCTCACCAAGCAAGGGCCCTGAGCCTGGGAGGCCTTTGATGAGCGGTGGTTAAGCTGAAATGAATCGACACCCCACTCCCCAAGCTGCAGGGCCTTCTGAGAAGCTATTTTCAGGTTTATCTGAAAAAGTGTTCTCCCTCTTCTAGATTGTATCCAAAGAGGGCCTGGCCCCTCTCGAGCCCACCAAAATGAGGCCAAGGGGAGCAGGAGGGTCCCGGCAGCACACGGAGGGAAAGACAGCTGTGGGAGGGGGTGGACCGCCCAGAGTCCCGACGGCACAGCAAATGGGAGCCTGGTGCTTAAAAGAGTAAAACTGTATCTAACATGTGCAATGTCAGTTCTCAGTGACATTATGAGCAAATGAGCAGAGGCTAAGGTATGAATCATAGGAAACTGTAGGTAAACAAAGGGATTTAGCTTGGTTTTTATTAGACTCAGACACACATCCCCAAACTGAAACCCACAGAGAGCAGGAGAAAGAACACAGACTCGGAGTGGCCCCAGCTCCGCCACTGTGTGACCTTGGGCCAGTCACGTGCCTCCTGGCTGGACCAGATGAACAGGTCTCAAATGTGGCCGCGCTTCAGAACCACCTGGAGAGGCTGCTATCTACAGAGCGAGATGTTCCCTGGCAAGGTCAGCAACTGGCGTTGGTAACAAGCCCCCAGGTGAGTCTGATGCAGGCAGCCTGACCTGACCCGTGGACCACGGTCTCAGAACCCTGGGTTGATGGCTGGTGTGATCATGACCCTCTGCTGTCTGGGTGCTCCCCTGTGAGTGGTCACACACTACCCGCCCCCTCCTCACCTCCCTGCCTGGCTCAGCCCTCCTGTGTGCTGTCAGGGATTGAGCCTCGGGGGGCGGGGGGAGGGGGGGAGAGGGTTTTGGGAATGCCAGCGGGATGACTCCAATGAGTCCCTGGTCCCTAAAGGGTGTCTGAAAGGGGACTGGCAAACTCTCAGCTTAAATCCAAGGTTCTAGGGGCCCACGGTGGGCGGGAGCTGGTGGAGTTGGCATGGAGTGACAGGCAGCATGAGCACAAGCTCTGGAAATCAGACAGACTTGTTCCCCAAGCCTCCGTGTCTCGTCTATAAAAGCAGATATCGCTCCTGACTTCATAAGGCTACCAGAGGATTAAGCTGGATAACATCGGCAAGCCTTTAAGAAGAGGGCCTGACATTTAACAGTTGCTGAGTAAATGTAGTACGTATCATTCTTCAAGGGGTGACTTTTGAGATGATTCTAGAAGGATGAGCTGGAATTAGGTAGAAAAGGGAACAGCACATGGAATGACACCACGGCAGACATGCCACCTGCCACAGAAAAGTGTCTTCGTGGTGGCGGTCCCGGTGGGGTGGGGGGCAATGATGGGCCAGGCACCGCTGTTAAACGGGTGGTGTGTGCTACCTCACGCCCTCCTGACAGCGGCCCCCCAGGTGGACACAATCACTGTCCTCCTTTTTTAGATGAAGAAACTGAGGGGCTAAGACTCTAACCCTGACCACCAGAGGCCCCACCCATGCCCATGTGCTAAGCCATTCTGCTGGGGAAGATGCCTTGGTTTCAGGGAAAAGGACAGTTTCTCTCAGCATATGTTGATAACCTCTAGCCCTGCCCTGCCACCCCTCTCTGCTCGTTTCTGCTCATCAGCAACTCCCTGTCCATCAGCAACTTCTCTAAAGAATTCAGGCACAGAACATTGAAGCAGAGAGAAGACCTGGCCCAGGGGAGGAGAGAGGCCAAGAAGCAGAGACCCCTGAGCATTTAAGGAGGGACCGATTCACTAGGTACATCAGGCCTTTGATTCCTCAGGACGGGGCATGACTTCAGACGAGATCCAGCCTTGATGGCCCAGGCAAGCAGGTGAGCCACCGGCCCCTGGCATCTCAGTAAGGCCATACTTGTCACTCTCCTCCTTGCTTTGTGCTCCCTCTGTGTAGCAGATCGAATCGTGGACACCAAAAGGTATGTCCAGCTGGAACCTCAAACGTGACCTTATTTGGAATAAGGGTCTTTGCGGATTAATACGGTAAGGATCTTGAGATGAAATTATTCTGTGTTAGGGTGAGCCCTCCATCCAATCAGAGTCCTTATAAGGGACAGAAAAGGGTAGCTCTCACCCACAAGCCCACGAAGAGCTACCCTTCTTTCACAGTGAGGGACTCAGGCTCAGAGAGGTGCAGGGCTTTGCTGGCAGCTCATTCAACTAGTCTACAGAGCAGTGATCAGGGCCCACGTCAGCTGACACCCGAGCTCTGCCGTCAGGGCTGGGGTCCCAAAGATGCAAGAGGGAGGGGGGACGGGCCTTGGGAAGTGCCCAGGGCAGGTCTCCAGGGCCCTGGGGAGAGCCAAGCCCCTGGAGCTGGGAGGACTCCCCTGGTAGACTGAACACGGAGACACGGGCAGGACTCCCACGCGCAGGGGGCTTTTAGCGTGGCCTGGGCTGTGCAGTGAACACCTTTGAGGACGAATGAGACCATGAGAAACTACAGCCAGTGCTCATCACCCAGACCCAGGACTGCCTCCTGCCCCGGGACTGGGGCTGAGAACTCATTTCCATCCTCAGGACTGTTCACCCCCCTCGATGGCAGCCCCTTAAGCTTCTTTTGCCAAATGCAGACGTAGGATGTGCTTATTTCAATCCCAGATGACACCTCATTCCTAGAGAGCAAGTACCGTAACTTGTCTCCCAAACTGCACATTCACACAAAATCCCAAACTCCCTGCCACAGAGGGAGGGGCGTGGCCTTCTTCTGGCCTGTGGCCTGCGCTGGGCTTGGGCACCAGCTCCTCTGAAAAGGGGCCTGGCCGTGCGATCTGCCAAAGGCCCTCTTTTCCAAAGCCCTTCTCATCTTGCCCCCACCAGCCACACCCCCATACGCAGCAAGCGTTTCCGGTAGAGTAACCCACATCAATGCATCTGGGAAAGTGACATTTTAATTTTCAGGAAGCAGCTGATGCAGAATTAGGGGACTGGTGGTGCATATCAAGTGGCTGCATCCCTTCCACCTCTGTTTTTTCACACGCTATCCCTGCAAGCCCATGGCACAGGGACAGACCGATACACGGATGGCAGAAGTTGGTCCTGAACCCTGTACAGAATTCAGAGGCCCCTTGACTGGGCTGCAGGATCTATCCTGCACTTTTTTCAACGTTTCTCTCTCACAACGAGAAACAACCTCTGGGCTTCTGATTTGACCCAGAAGCTGAACATCTGGACAATTTGTCCTTCCCAACCCGCACCGATACTCAGCCTGCTGACTCCAAGCGGGGTGCTGCAGTGTTCTTGGCCGGCATGGGGGAGCGAGGCAGGGGCAGCAGAAGCACTGCACATGGGTCCCCCCTCAGTTCTCAGCACCCCAGGCTGGTGTCTCCCACAGCTTAACCTGTGGGAAATCCCAGGGAGCCTACCAACTTTACAGGGCCATAAAAAGACCACCGGAGATATCGCCTGTAAAGTGCCTGACACCCATAGCACACCCTCAGTAAGTGCTGCCCGTTAATACTATGAACCTAGATTTGACCCTGCCATGTTTTCCCCACTGGTGCTTCCATCAGAGAGAGGATGAAATGCTGCCTTCCCAGCTCTCCTGCGAGATCTCTGAGCACAGAAGCCACACTTCCTATTTCTGTATCCCTGGCAGGGCCAGGCCCAGCGCAGGGCGCATAGCACGTGCTCACGGCACCTGGTTTTGAAGTACAGTGGTCCGTTCTTGGAGTAAACCTGTGACCCCAGGCTTGTGTTCTTAGTTTCTCCTTTTGCTCTGGAGGCCCAGCCCCACAGCAAGAGGGCACAGACCAGCCGCTAAATGAACAGGAAGAATCCAGGTGCCCTGCATGGGGTCGGTGTTCAGAAATGGTGCCCCAGGACTGAAGGGCAGAGTGTACCCTGTCGGCAGCCAGCCCTGGGAGGGGGAGGCCCCTCACTCGGGGATTGCCTATCACACCCTGCTGTCAGCACCAGGAAGCAGCACCCAAGCAGGGAGAAGGGCCCCGGGCCAGAGCAGACACCACAGTGCCATCCCCTGGGTCAAGGGTGGGAAGCGTCTGGTGCCACCTAAGAACCTGTCCCAAGGACAGGGGCCCTTCCTGCGCCTGCTGTGCCGTCTAAAGGAAGGGAGGGCCGAGGCGCCACACAAAGCCTGGGGTCTGGGTAGGAGAACTCTGACTTCCTGCCGTTTCAGAGTTTAGGTTATCACCCTCATTTCTAGTAACAATTTCCCGGCCTCAAAGATTAGAGACCCCGGGCGCCGGCACAGCCTCTCCACAGACTCACTCCCGTTTCTCCTCCTCTGTTTCGCAGTGGCCAGCGGTTCCTCTGATCACAAAGGCAGAGGAGCCCGGAGAGGGACCTCAAGAGGCACTTGGTCCAGTCCTGTGTCTTCTCACCCATCCAATGCAACCGGCCATTACCCCTGGCATAACAACGTGACCACTGGCATCCATGCCCTGTGTATGGTTGCAGCAAGCTGGCACACACTGTCGCCTTTGGGACCGCAGTGGCCATGCAGCACACGTGGGGCTCGTGTTCTTACGTTGCACAGATGGAGACAGTCTGGGAGAGCAAGGCCCTGGCTTCCCCAGCCCTCACTGCTACTCTCTCTATTGAAGGCCCGTTCTGTATCAGTTGTCTAATCGTCAGTTTTATACTGGTCAGTGGTCAATTTTATGAAGCAGACAACACACACAGTTTTGTCTGCTTCCACTTAAGTCCAACTCCACTTGCTCTTAACAGACACGGAGAGTGGCTGGTCAGTGCCCTTTCCTCCTGTCCATACTTTGCAAAGTCAAGGACGGCCAAGGACTCACCCAGCAGCCTTCTCTTTGCCGGGCTGCAAACTCAAGCTCACCTTCCCACCCTGTCAGCGGTCAGCAGGGCTGAAAGCAGGTTGGGAGGGGCTTGGTCGGAGTTGCCCAGGCAGGAGTGGGGGATTCAGAAGGCAGACCGGTGGGACAGCGCACATCCTCCTGCATTGAGGATGTTGGAGAAAGCCACAGACTTCATCATCCCGCTCCCTGCCTCCCCCTCTCTCCCCGCAACCCCTCTGCCAGGCCAGGGTTGGGGGGATTTTAGAGGGCACCTGCTGAGAAGCACCGGAAATAGCCAAGACCTGCAGCCTCGCCAGGGAGGAGGGAAGGTCAGCTCAGGCTCTCGGTGCAACGCCCCTCCTTCCTAAGCCTTCACACCTGACCCTCCTGCAGCTTCTCATCCACTCCAGCCCTGAGGAGCTGACAGAAGAATCACAGGCTCCTCAAGTCTCTCCCCCGGGGCCTCGCCTTCACCTGGAGAAATGCACGAAGGTTTTGGGCCAGACAGACACCATGAGCTTCCTGAGGTGTGTGAGTTGGGGCTAACCAAGCAGCAGCCATCAGAGCGACAGGGACAGAGTCGAGGGGCAGGTGGCCGCTGGAGAGCCAAGTTATAGTCGGACTTTAGCCAGACGTGTTCCTGGGACCCTCGCCCTGACACAGGCCCCATGTGACTGCAGTTTCCCTAAAAATACAGCCAAGACCATGATGTGAATGCGCTGAAGAGAGAATAGAAAGTGCTCCGAAGACAGAGCTCAGAGCGCTCACCTCTGACGCCTCCTGGTCTCTCCTGTCCTCGGCCATCCTCCCCCTGGGGAACCCTTGCCTGTAGTTGAGTCAGGGTCGCCCTCCCTGCCCCCTCTCACCCCCTTATGAGCAGCCCTCCCTCCCTCCTAGGCTATCCTGCCCCTCTCCCCTATGTCTGGGCCTCCCAATTTCAATTGCAGTCTGTCCTACGCCCTGCCACCCCTAAATAATGCTCCCGCAACCATAATCGGCAGTAACAACACCGAACACCACATGGGTGGTGTGCCATCTACTCTGCATATTGTATTTTATTCAATTCTGATAATAATCTCACAGTAGGTACCATCACCAACCCCATCTGACAGATGAAGAAACTGAGACTTGGAAGGTTAAGTGATGTAACTGAGATTCCGGTCTAAAGCGTTGGTCCAGGGCCTGCCTTTTGCCAATTAATTCAATCCTCCTTGTCAGTATTTTCATTCATCTTGAAATCGCCCCTTTCACCAAGCCCTCCAGACTCACTCAGCCTTCGCTGCCACTAGCTGCCGAATTCGGATCCAGCACTCAGGCTGGGACTGTCGGGAGCATCCCCGGAGGTCACACTGCCGCCCCTCCCCACCCACAGTCGCTGACTTGTTCAGGAAACGCAAACACCTTTTAGTTTCTGCAGCAGTTCAGTGCAGAGTGGAAAGTAAAATAGGCCCCAAGGTATGCAAATCACACATCTCAGCATTTGAAAATCAAATGAAAAATGGCCTGTGTTTTAGCCCCTATTTGGGGTTATGTGAGCCATGGCTGGTGACAGAATGTGGGTGTCAGAAACCTAACGATTTAACTAGCACCACAAACAGCTGGGCTGAAAGGACCTCACATATCACTCTGTTCTGCTTCTGTTACAGAGGAGGAAACAGGCCCAGGAGGGGCAGGGACGTCCTTCAGGCCTCACAGCCAGGAAATGGCAGCCTGAACTGGGGATCCCCCACCCCTGCTCCTCCAGGTCCCAGACCTCAAGCAGCTGGAAGGGGGAAATGTGTAACTAGCTAAGCCGAGTGGCTAATTCCCCCCACCTGACCCTCGGTTTCCAGATGAGAACACCGAGGCTCGGGGCCGTCAGTGCGAAGTGAGGGAGCCCAAGCCCTGGGAGGTCCCTGGTTCCTACGGTCTCACCTCACATTTGACAAACATATACTGAACCCACATTGTGTCAGGCACCCCGCAGAAGGAGGGGTGTGAGGGAGAAAGCACAGGCCCCGCTCTCTGGGGATTCGCTGTCCAGGAAAGCAGCAGCTGTGAGGAGGGTGAAGTGGGTGCTGGGACAGGCCGAGAAGGCACCCAGGTCAGCTCTCCATGTATGCATTTTTTTTTAAATCCTCACCTGGGGGACCCCCCCCCCCCAATTAATTTCTAGAGAGAGTGGAGGGGACGGGGAGAGACAGACACATCAACTAGTTGCCTGCTACATGCACTGCAACCAGGGCCAGGGACCGAGCCTGCAGCTGAAGCACATACCCTTGACCAGAATCAAACCCAAGACCCTTCAGTCCACGGGCCGACGCTCTAACCACTGAGCAAACCGGCCAGGACTCTCTATGTAATCTTGTGCTTGACCAGCATCTGAGAGGAGTCTGGGAGGTGTGGGTGAGGGCAGCCATGCCCAGGAGGGGTGCCAGGTAATCAGTGCTGGGCGGGCGCCCCCAGCTCTGCAGTGAGGTGATAGGCCCGTGCTTCCAGCACCGGGCAGCGCAGACCTCGTTACAGGGAGTCGGCCTGTAAGGAGCCGGCGGGCATCTAACTGGCTCCACTCAGGCTCTGCTCCCAGAGGCCTGTTTCCATCAGGATCTGCTCAAAGACGGGCACAGCGCCAGCAATTATCGGCAGTGAAGCCCTGCCGGCTCGGCTCGGCTGCACGCCGCCTGCCTGGTTTTTACACGGTCAACAAGGTGGTTGCCGAGCCGCGCTGTCGGCAGCAGAGCTGAGGTGTGACTGTTTGGCCAGGAAGCCTGCAGGCCGTGCGGGAGAATTGATGTTCGTGACTCCGATGCTGCTTAATGCCCCGGCCCAGGGGCAGACCACGGGCTGCAGATGTGGCCTGTCTGCGGGAGCATCTTCTAAAAAGCCTCTCTGTGCTAACAAAGATGAAACTCCCACAGCCAGGCCTTTCCCTCCACTTGGGAGCCTATAAAAGGCCTATTAGCGCATCTGGTCCGAGGGACAGAACAAATAAAAGGGCCTTGCTGTGCTCCCGAGATGCTAAATGAATCTATTCACACAAACAGTTTTCACAGCTCCCCCTGCAGTGTGCTCGAGCTATGATACAGGTGTGTGATTCAGGGACACGTCCAGACGACACGATGATGCAAACCTGGACCCGACAGCTTGTAGCACAGACGCACAAACGCAGTGAGCATCCTGCTGTGTGTGTGACAGCCCCTCACTGCCTCGCTCCCAGGCAGAGAAGGACTGCACGTGCCTCGTGTCCTCCCTCCACCCCCAACCCAGAGCCCATATGCTGCCTTCACCGGTCTGCTCTCCCTTCCCCAGTGCCCACTTCCACTGGTCCAAATCCTCCCTTTTCAGCAAAGGCCTGAGGAATGCCACCTCTTCCAGGAAGCCTTCCTTGAGCCTCCCAGCCAGAGCTGCTCAACCCTTTTCTGGACATAGCAGGATCTCCATTCTGCTCTAGTAACAACACTTTGTGCCACAAATTAGTCTTTTATGTAAATATCCGAGCTCCCCCGCTAATTCATCAGCCCCCAGAGCGGGAATCCTGTCTTGATTCAGTTCAGCATCCCCAACAGGGCTGGACACAGTGTCTTATTTGGAAACAGAGTAGTTGTAGGTATAATTAGTTAGGATGAGTCCATGTTGGAGTAGGGTGAGCCCCTAATCCAATGTGATAAAAAGGGGAAACTTGGGCACAGGCACAGATACGCACACAGGAACAAAGCCCTGTGAAGATGAAGGCAGAGATCAGGGATACGCCGGAAGCCAAAGACACCGAAGAATCCCACAAACCACCAGCAGCCGGGGAGGGGGCTGGGACAAAGCCCCCCCCCCACCTCCACAGCCCTCAGAAGGACCCCACCATGCTGACACTCTGACCTTGGACATCTAGCCTCTGGGACTGTGAGACAATACATTTCTATTATTTCAGCAACTCTGTGGTACTTCATTATGGCAGCCCTAGCAAATTAATACAGAGGTTTGAAACAGACCATTTGGTGGTCTGATGGTGACATCGTGAAGCTATTGGTTTAAAAAACATGTCTACAGAAAGCCAGATGTGGGTGGGTGGGTGGATGGACGGATGTTACAGACGGGTGTGTGGATGATGGAGGATGGATAGATCCAACTGCTGTGTAGGTGCTGTGATTGGCTCTCCCCCAGCCCAGCAGCCTTCCACATGGGGCTGAAGAGAAACTGCCCATCTGAGTGGCTGAGAGTTGAGGAAACATCCGTCAAGGAGTCAATGGCATCTACATGCACGACTGCTATGCCAGTTAGTCCTGAATATCCTGTGGCACAGATGTTCTTACCCCCTTGTACAGATACGAATCTGAAGCTCAGAGAGGGTAAGTCATTTGCCTGACCCCACAGGGCTAGCAAGGGGCAGGGCTGGGATTCACACTCAAGTCTCCTGGCTGCAAACACAGTCTCCTGTCCCTCCCGCTGCTCTGCACAACAACTCTGCCCTCCTGGGTCTCACATTCCAAAGGAGAGCTCAACAGACTCCATGATCCAGACCAGCGGTTCTCAACCTGTGGGTCGCGAACAATGAAAATACATCCTGCATATCAGATATTTACATTACGATTCATAACAGTAGCAAAATTACAGTTATGAAGTAGCAACGAAAATAATTTTTATGGTTGGGGGTCACCACAACATGAGGAACTGTATTAAAGGGTCGCGGCATTAGGAAGGTTGAGAACCACTGATCCAGACCAACTTAGAAGGGAAAGTGTTGTGTCTTCACTTCCTGTAACACAGGCCTGCCCACCCTCACTCCTGCAGGGACCCCAGGACCATCAGGGGTCGTCATTGGGCCCCTGCCCTCTGCTCTATGA